ATAAATTCTTCCCTCTTTCAATTATGTAAATTTCTTACTCATTCGCTAAGAGAGAGAGTGCCAGGTTGATGTCTGTATAATGTTAAATCAGTTAGGTTTGATGAACACAGCTAGTGAATGATTCCTTTTCTGTGTTTATCTCTTGACAGCACATAACACATTGCCTGGCCAGCTACACATCAAGCACTTTACATGTTCTGACACTGAGTGTTAAGGAAAAACATAATTTCCACTGTCATGCCATTCACAATCTAGTTGAAGAAACAGGCTTTGACTAGATAGATAAACACAAAACAACATATAGTTCAGAATTCTGTTGAGCACTAATAAGGGAAAAGTGCCAAAAAGGATAGACTGCACTGGGAATAAATCAGGAACCTTAATTTAGATTGGCAATCAGGGTACTCTTCTCTGAAGAAATAACATTAGTAACTGAACCCTGAAGGGAGAGTTGAGATTGGCCAGGTGAGAACTGGATGGTAAGCCTTCCAGATAGAGCATGTGCAAATACCTGGAGACAAGGGAGAATTTAGTGCATGTAAAGAACTGAAAGGAAGTCACTGGTGCTGAGGTGAATTAGGGGAGATGAGGGGGCAAGAGTAGCCAGTAAGGAGTATAAGTTTTACTATGGGAAAGAACTAAAGGAAAGCAGAGGACTAAAGCAATCTGATTTACATTTTTTCCAAACTCCTCCTCCTGTGTGCTGTATGGAGAACTGGTTAGAAAGGACAAGATGAAATGTATGGAAAGCAGGAGATTATCGCAGAAATCTAGAAAAAAAGTTGATGGTGGCTTGTACTAGAACGGTGTCAGTAGAGATGGAAAAACTTGTATGGCATCGATAAATATTCTGGAAATGGAATCTAAGAAGAACTTGAGATGGACTGGATGTTTGGAATGAGGGTGAAGAAGCCAAGTTTAATGTCACATTTCTAACAAACAATTGACAGATGGGAGGGCTATTTATGAAGAGGAATTAAGAAGGAGTAGTTTGGTGAAAGTGACGGGGGGAACTAGTTTAGTTTGCTATGTCAACAAGACATTCAGAAGAGAATATGTGAACTTTGATTAGAGATGGACTAGAGAAGTCAGAAGTCAAGTGTAAGCCTAGGATCTGTCATACTGACAGTACTTACAGCCATGGAAAATGAGACCTTCCCAGCAAGACCATAGAGAAAAAAGGCAGAAAGCTCAGAGTACAGATAGAGGAAGGGAAGTCAACAGCAAAAGAACTAAAAAGGAGTAACAGAGAAAGGGGAGGAATAGGAAAGGAACAGAAGAGAGAGACTGGCAGAGAGCACTGAATTCTCCTGACAGGTCTAAACAATGAGACTTTAGATTGTTCATTAGATTCACTGATTGTGGGTTGATGGATTTGGGGCATGACAAAAATAGTTTCAGTGGAGAGATGTAGAATGGAAACAAATTGGAGCAGATGGCAGATGAATAGGATACAAGGGAATGAAGACAGAATATGCAGGTAACTCTTTCTAGAAACTTTACTGTAAAAGGAGGACAAGATATAGGGCTGGGCTGCAACTGGAGACAGATTTGGAGTCAAGGGAGAGAGCGATCATCAGTGAATCTATGTTAAATGTGAAATTCTGCACAATTCTGTCTTAGCCTACATGCTCCAAAAATATGTCTGAGCAAGAGCTTAACATGTAAGTAGTTTATTTTACATTCAAACCCGAGGAAAGAGATTGGATGGCTAAAAAGAAGAAAAGAAGGAATGAGGGAAAGCCAACTCAAGAGTGTATTATCAGCTGATTGCCACTGGAAACTGAGGCCCAGGTATGCTAGAGCCCCCTAAGGTGCCACTTAGAACACATTCAGAATTGCTCACACCAGGAATGGAAGAGTTCATCACCAGAAGAGTTGCCCCAACTCTCCTGTACCTCCTGATTTGCTCCATGCCCCAGAATGTTTGAGCAGACTCCTGTAAATGTCCCACTCAGAGGTGGTAGAAAAGCCCAAGATAGAAAATGAGAGCCCCCCAGTATACCTGAGGCCAGCGTCTGCTAAGTTAAATCTTTATGTAGCTGGTTGTTATGGTAATCACTAGGGTGAAAGATGGAACAAGAGAATGTGAAGCAGGGCGCAGAGGTATCTGATATAATGTCTACCTTGATATTTATACATTCCACATCCTTTCTGGTCTGGAAAGATGAAATGGCTTGTGTCTAGTAGCTCATGCTAGAGTTGGCACGTACATTCTCCTGATTCCTGGCCTCTAGACCTCCCTGCCTCTGTTTAAGAATAATTACTCCAAGTAGCCGAGATATCTGACAACTAAATTAACTAAATAAGGGTTTTGATACATTCTTGGTGACAGACGCAAGAAGTGTTTTAGAAGCATCAACCAATTAACCTAACATTTTATGAGCACATACTGTATTCCCAATCTGCACACAGTTGTATAGATTGTCAAAGAATATTAAATCTGGTCCTTGCTTTGATGTCTCATTAAAAGAATTAAAGAAATACTGCACAGACACATGGGAAGAGATCTAAAAATAGTAGAAGGCTGGATATGATTAAATAACAAATGTGGACTAGGACAGTGTCAAGCTGGCAGATCTTTAGTTATGGCAGTGTTTCTGTTGGGAATGAGCAGAATGTGGTGGAGACCAGTCAGGAAAGCTATTTGTTCTGGAAAGAAACTTCAAACTCCAAATGCTAACAGAAGCTATCTCTGGTTAGTGATACTAGAGGTGATTTTTACTTTCTTCTGTAGATGTTTCTGTATTTTTCATAGGTCTCACAATAAATATGTATTACTTTTATAGTCAAAGAACGTATTTTTTAAAATAACCAAAGGATTTAGCAACTAGAACTCTCATGCATGGCTGATGAGAATGCAAAATAGGACAGTGGCTTTGCAGTTTCTAATAAAGTTAAACATACACTTAACAGCAACCTAGCAATCTCATTTGTAGGTACTTACTCCCTCCCTTCCTGTCTCTCACTCTCTCTCACACACATAAAATACACAAATGTTTAAAGCAGGTTTTTCTATAACCACAAAAACTGGAAACAACCTAATTGATGAATGAATAAACAAACTGTGGTATATGCATACAATAGAAGACTAATTGACAGTATAAAAAAAACGCAGCATCACAGCATGAATACTGATACATACAATAACATGAAACAATCTCAAATGCATTACACCATATGAAAGAAGTTCCATAATAGATGGTTGCACTGATAGGACATTTTGGAAGAAGCAAAATTATAGAAACTGATCAGTGCTTGGTAGGGGTAGGAATAAGAAGGAGAGGGAACTACAAAGGGATAACGCTGTGATTTAGAGGGTGATGCAACTGTGCTGTATCTTGAGTGTGCTGGTGGTTAAACAGCATTTTATGCTTATGTTAACTCAGATCTCTACACAAAATAGAGTTTATTTTCCAGCGTGAAAAAAATTTTAAGTAAATAACACAACAAATTCTTAATAGAAGCATGTTAACAGCTCTTTCCCACGAATGAAAAATAAAGGGAGATCATCTCAAGGGCTGTGGAAATAATAAAAAGAAGAATTGACCTAGATGGGTTCTGTGTGGATCACTGGAAACCAACAATGAGCAAAATATCTGAGAACCATTACAGAGAATTCAGAGGCAGAATTCACTGACTCTCTGAGTACAGAAGCAGAGAACAAGACACTGAAGTCCACTGCAGAATCATAAACCCAAAAAGACACGTGATCTTTCACAATGATGAGTGTACCAGCGAAGGTACTTTAGCTTGCAAGCAATCAAGACCCACTGTGTCTTAGGTAAGCCCCACAGAGAAAAGGGAAAGGGATGTGGGGAGGTACTGGAAGGATTCTAAGTAACTCACAGGAGCGAGAGAAGTGCTGAACAATAGTGTGTCAGACAACTTGCATGTGTCAACTTGAAAATCTCCTTCACCACTGCTGTGGCCGCCAGTTCTACCCAAATTTCAACCAGCTTAATGTAGCCTAATTTCAGCTGGACAACACCTAGCCTGGCCTTGCGTACCGCCCTTTCCAGTCCTGGGACTTCAATTCCACCGTAAGAGATGCCTGGTAGGAACTTGCTTGACACTTACAAGTGTGCAAGTCAGAGTGGAACGTTAATACCACAGGGACACATTCAAACAACAGGAAGTAGGAGTCTATGGATAAATCCCTCCCCTTCTCCCCTATTCAGAGCGAGAGTTCTGATACCCACTTTGAAAATCTCCTAAATCAAGTCCTTGGCATTAAGGACCAGTCACCAGTAGTGGCGGGGAATTCAACAATTTAATCTCATATGGATGATCTTTCCTCCATCTCTGTTTCATTCCTCCTGTCCCAAACTCACTGAACTCATACTATCAAATATACTACCTACAAGCTAGCACTTATCTCAGGCTCTGATTCCTGGGGAACCCAGGCCAAGACGAGCAGGCCTTGGGAAGGAGCCAATATAGTTCTGGAAATTTCAGCTGTAGAATTGTATGGACTATCTCTTAAGAGTGAAGGCATCAGTGGACTCATCTCTATCCAGCTCCTTCCCAGGAGAGTCTGATGGGCCCAGCCTGGTCACATGCATGCTCTGGGATCAAAGGGTATGGAACTCATGCCCTAATCTCAACAGAATCACTTGCAAAGGAGAAGAGGCAGTTCTTCAAAGAGTATGAAGAGGCTGGAAATAGGAAATGATTTAGGAAAAATTTGCTATCTAGTTGCAATGTGCTTTTGGATCATGTTAACATATCTTTAAAAAAAAGGTATGTATTGTGACATATTAGTACAGCTATGTGTCTGAAGTTTAAGTTTCTTTTCCCTACACAATCAATAGCTTACTGGACCCTGGTTAGAGCCTTAAAATAGAAAATATAAGCATGATTCAGGTATATTATGGGATTGTCTGGTAGGTTTTTCTGAAAGCTCAAAATTGATATTTTATATTTGGAAAGCTTAGGCTCTAGCCGTTGTTAAAACAGCCAGCTCATTTTTCACTCACTCTCATTTCGTCTCTTTCTAGGTTAATATCCAACACAGGCATTAAGCACTTGCCAGCTGTTCACAAGATTCAATCTCTCCAAAAGGTTTTACTGTAAGTTTGAAGAGCGGTTACCAACCCTTTACTCACCAACTGTCTTGCCCAACAGCCTCTCGGCCTGTAATATGCACTGTTAAGTCAGTATTCTCCAAATATGCTGCTCTGGGTGAGCAGAGGGAGGAAGGCCAACAGCAAGTGTCCTTGGTTTTACCTGAAGGCCAGCTAGTCTCAGATTGGAGGAAGCCAGTGAACTCCTCAATAAGACAGTTGTCAACGGAGCCAACTTGTAGCAAATCAGGAAGTCTCTCCTTCCTTCACTATGTAGTGCCTTACATACCTCCCCCCACCAACTCCCCCTTCCTCTCTTCTTCCCTCCAGAATTCCTATGCTGCCCTAGGCATAAAGAAACCACCTGACAAATTCACACCCACGTGTTAATGACAATACATTTGCCTTTTCCCAAGGTATCTGTATCTTGAAAGAGGCAGCAAAAAGGCAACGTGTAAAGGCAAGTTCATTTTCAATAGTGAAATTGTAAGAATCTGGACAGACGCAAAGGGAAGAGGTCGGGAAAGGATGAAATGAACTAAGAAACGAAGGAGAGAGAATGAGAGAGAAAAACAGAGAATCTTCCCAAATTTCTCAAATTGTTCCAAGCAGTTTAGTCCTTTTACTTTTATGTTAGACTGGACCCAACAGGGAAGCTTGAGAGGATGGGGAAGTGGATACAAACAGAAAGAGAAAAACCAATGGTAACATTTTTCTGTGACCCAAGGAAAACAGAGAAGGGAAACTAGATGTACCAAGGGGATTGAGACGGAGGAAGATGAAGGTCCAACTAAAGTGAACAGAGAAGTTTGGGATGGAGACGAAAGGTCAGCTTAAGTGTCTTTGTCCTGTTGAGCTGGTACCAACAGCAAAAGCAAAGATAGTAAATGAGTATGTTAGAACCTTAGCACAGTGAGATTAGCAAAGAAAACTTTCAGAGTGGGAAGAGACTGCATGTCTGCAATTCCATTTTTAAGAAGAACTGATATACTCAAGATAAATTAGATATCATTTACTTCCCAGACTTTGACCTCATCACCCTTCAGAACAATAACAATTCAAGCATGACCTCAGCAGAAGACATCACAGCAAGTGGACTAAATGTGGGGAGGTGACATCAGTAGAGGTGACGTCAATATCTCTTTTGTCTGTACTTTCTTCTAGAGACATTCAAGACAACATAAATATCCACACCATTGAAGGAAATTCTTTCGTGGGGCTAAGTTTTGAAAGTATGATTCTGTAAGTAAAGAAAAAGAAAATCCAATGGAGTAACATTTGGTTTTTCATTTAATGATTTCTTTCTCACAATGGCATGCTCTTTTCTGGTTTAGGTAACCATGGCATCCCACCATCCCAGTTTCTCTCTTGTTCTGAGTTTTTCTCTCCTTTTACATCTTTACGTTTCAGAATCACAACATGAAGCCCTGTTAATAATTTGTGATTCTGTGGTGCGATTCGAGTATTTAAAATTGCTCTTTGAATGCTGGTCTCCTGTGATGCAACATCTGTTCTGAGGGACAGAATAACTTATGCATCAATAAAGCTAGTTATTGCCTGGCCAGGCTTTTGTTGCCCAAAGAAAAAGATCAAGAGGGAGTCTGAATCAAGGAGATATGGATATTCCCTCATAACCAAGCCAAGCAGCCCTGTTCAGCCCCATGCTGAGCACAAGATGACTTCTCATTTTCTTGGAACAGTCACTTTTTTTTTTTTATAACAAGCTTGAGTTACTCCCTTTAACTTTTGGGAAAGTTTTAAACTGTAGTCTGCATCGTTGATGAACTACCTTGAGTTTGCGTCAGTAGCCTGCCTGGCAGTTCATCCCTTTTCAAAAATGGCCAGGGAAGAGGGCACAAGGGGTTATCTACATGTTTTGGGGATTCATGGAAGTTAGATGCACAGAATGATATTTGGGACACTGGTAACTGCAATTACACCTGTAAGGAAAGTATTTCATCTTTATATTTCACAAATTGTGGTGTTTTTTAAAAATAGACGTGTCTGTGTTTTAATATGCCAATATGTAAGGTTTAATATGCCAATACAAAAGGTAAGTTCTAGTCCAGGAAGAATTTAAGTTCTTTTTAAAGCAGTAATATGAGCCAGAGACCCAGCTGCACTTAAAAAAAAAAAAAGAGGAGGGGGTTGGTGGGGAGGGCAGAGAGAAATAGTAGGCAGATGAGGACATAGTAAAGAATAAAGCTAAGCACAATATTTGATGTAAATTTATTTCAGAGAACAAAAAAGATTTGAGAGAGACTAGCAGAGAAACAGGATGTGTGAAGGAAAATAAAATCAAAGGCATGTATCCAATGTACACAGTATTAGGACAAAAATTGTAGGTAATACCTAATCCTTTCACTTAAGATGCTCATGATATTCGAAATCTGTGTGTGTGTGTGTGTGTGTGTGTGTGTGTGTGTGTGCGCGCGCGCGTGCTGGAATAAGGTGATGGGGGTGTGAGAAGTATGAGAGAAAGGGAAAGCCAAAGAAATAAGCTAACTAAAATACAAGCACTATGAAATTTGTGCAAAATAAAAGTACTTGTTCTAAGCGTAAAGAAGGAATCATGTGATATGAGGGGAGGGTTGAAGGAAGAGCTCAAAGAGGGAAGGCAGGCAGCTGAGAGAGGAGGTTGGATCAAGGATGGGTCTTAGAAGGTGAGTGGGATTTAGCCACCTTGTGGGCAGAAGACAAGCAGAGGAAACACAGCATCAGGGCCAAGAAGTTTAAAAAAAATGATAAAAAGGAACTTTGGATAATGGTGAATACCTGAGTAATACCAGCCTGGTGGGTTTTAACACAAACACAATAGGGAAAGGATTCCTGGGCCACACCATGGAGGGAGAAGGTCCATGATAAATAAATGTCATCAGTTACACCTGGTTGCTTGTGCTTCTGTAACCCTTGCTCTCAACACAGGTGTCATTTTAAATAGAGTGATTCAGAATTAGTTAATGTAATAATGCAGAACATTACGTAGAAAATATATGAGTGGGAACCTGAAATTAATATAATGGTAGACATCAATTATCACAATTTTTTAAAAAGTGGGCATGTGCTAATACTCTCATAGTTCCACACATTCACACACATCCACTTTGTCCAGAACACAAGACAGAAGGCAAGTCGTCCTGACCTACCTAGTCTTAACTCTTCCCAAGTCGGGGAAAAGAATTTGAGGAAGTGAGTGCCGTTGACAGTCTCGCAAACCCAAACCTACAAAAGATGCGTGGAGGTCATAGCTTTCTTCACTGACTCCTGTTCATGGACACTGTGTGCTTCCCCAGAGTTTAGAACAGACTCTCCTAGCAAGGACAGCTTTCCTAAGAGCCAACACTTCTCAGACATGTCTCTATAAAGGACAAATTCACATTTGTGAAACAGGACCCATTTTTTTTTTAACTCAGATGGCCCTTAATTAGAAAACCCACATTCGCTACAATTTAAGTCTCCAATTGTTCTTAGCTTGGGTGCTCTGTCTGGATGCAGGGGTACTTTGTCCCCCTAGGGACATCCTAGGGTACTCAGGAAAACAAACAAAAAGAGCCTGCCAAAATGGCTCTCATACCTGAAAAAGCTTTCTATGCACTGACATTTTCTAAAATCCCAAAGCCCTGTTCGTTCTATACATATATTAAAAAAAAAAAAAAGACAGCCCAGCAATGAAGAATTATCAGACACTGGTAATGAGGTAATGAGGGAAATGAGAAATAAAAACCTACCATAAGGAAACCACTGAGCCCTTCCCCACCCTCTACCCCCAACCCTCCAGCCATAAAGTCTGAACAGGGTAGTACCCAGATATGGCCGACCAGCAGATGGACTCATTCAGAAGGAATAAAACGAGGTTACACAGTGCCAGCTTCCAGCACGCCCCGGCCACAAGGAACTGCTCACTTCATGCGTGTTTCGTCCCTTCCTCACTTGGCTTCCATCTCACGTGCCTGCCCCAGAACCTTCATTCATTAGGGTGAGGGCAGACTCTGCTTTACGGACCTCCTGAGACTTCACTGAGTGAAGACACTAAGTGAACACACTAGGGAAGGGACAAAAAAAGATTAAGGAAAATCATGATTCAGTTATTCCTTAGCTGACGCTCTGCCCTGTTTGTCATCATCATCGTCATGAGGTTGGTTTTAAAACCAGCATTACCTCTCTTAAAAGAGTAGGCATGCATTTAGTAAACATCGGTTTCTCTGTTAGCATTTTGAGAGTCCTACTGCCTAACGTAAACTCCGGGGCAGGAATTCTGGACATAATTTGTTTTTTTGCAGAATGATCCATTGTTGACATGGAAAATTTCACTCCCTCCCCATAGGATGGTATCTATTAAGAAAATCTATAAAGACAAAGGGCTACTTTGAATACAGAAATTATTTTAAATTAGTTTGTATTTTATTTAATCATAGCAACATTTTATTTGCAGGACATAAATGTGCAGAAAATACTAATTATCTAGTCTATCGAAGAATGAATAGGCAGAGGCCATACAGATTTGCACACTGCTTTTGTTGGAGTAAGCATTGGCCAACTACAGCCCATGAGCCAAATCCAGTCCATGACCTAAGCTGGTTTTTGTAAGTGAACATTTTAATGACAGAGAACACACTGAACCTAAATTAAGCAGAACGTGACCCCGAACAACAGAAAAAAATCCATTCTTTTTAATAATAGGCCTACATTACAAAAAAGAGAAAATTGTACTCACTTATTACATGTTAAATTTTGTCAATAAAAGATTTCATGGGAATTGTTTTATAAGCACCTATGTAAGGGACCTGTGTAGTATTCTCCATTTTGCTTCTTGGTCCACAAAACCTAAAATTTACTGTTGGGCTCTTCACAGAAAAAGTTTGCTGAGCCCTGTGTTTGAACTAAAACCCCCAGGGATCCACATCCCACAGGTTAGGGGCAGCTGCTCCAGCAACTGTCACCACCCAAAGATAAGCTGACCAGTCAGTTTCAGGGACAAATGGGTAGGAATGGGGCAGGCAGGATGTAGGGGTGGCCATCCGAATCCAGTCATAGGTTGCTCATGTTTTAAAAGATGTGCACTACTTCCATCAGGACTTTTAGCTCACTGGCTTCCAGGAGGGAGAAAAACACATACAGTTGTTCTCCTGTGATTTTAAGCATCTCGAGCTACTCCTCGCAGCACCCGGAATAGTTGATGTCCCCCACACACAGGAGCTTCTCTGGGATTAGCCTTTGGAACAGTGTCATTTGCAAATCCACTGAGCCTGACGAGGAAAAGGACCTGACAGCAAATCAAGACCAAGTGATCAGAGGCTCTTCAAGCAGGCTAAGCTCTCCCGACCTTGGAATTCTGTTTTTGTGTTCAGATCCATCCAGGAGCACCTCAAAGCAGAGCTATCAGCCCAAGGTGTCCTTGGGCTGCCCTATCCAGGCCAGTCTGCCCATTGACCTTCTCTGCACCATCAGGGTGACTGTTCCACATCCAGCCCCACTGCCCCCGGAGCCTCCTCCCGTGCCCACTCACACCGCCTCACCCTGCCACAGCCCACAGTCTGTCTAATTGATTTCTCTTCCTTTCTGGTTTAACCCAGAGCCACCTCCACAAACCTCCAATAACCAGGTCCGTATGGGTCACAGAAGATGTTCAGGTTGTCTGACAGCTTAATTAGATCACTTTTGATGAGTTAGGCCTGCTGCTGTGAATAAGCATGGGTGAGAGATTTGAGGCCTTAGAGAAAGGTGGTACAAAATGTTTTTTCTTTGTCTTATGAACACTTGTTCAATAATGGTATGGTTTCTGTCCTTCAGGATGAGAAAGATCTCTGCCTGCTCCCCCCACGGCACTGTCTGCACACGAATGATGTGTGCAAAGTCCCTCCGGGATCCAAGCTGCTCTGCCTAAGTGTGCCTTTTCAAAATTACATTTCGTTTCTCTGAATAAGCAATACATGAACATAATGCAAACTGCCAATGTTACAAGATGTTGTACAGTGATAAATCAGTCTCCCTCCCAACCCTGTCCCGGAGTCTTAAGGGTGGTATTTGATTTATGCCACTAACCTGTGCTGTCTGACCTTGCCCCAGTGCTTCCAATTATGAGATCCCTGTATTGTTTGCATCTGACTTTATTGGTTTTTTAATGGATCTTTTATTTCAGATGGCTGAGTAAGAATGGGATTCAAGAAATACACAACTGTGCATTCAATGGAACCCAACTAGATGAGCTGTAAGTAGCCCTGACTCTTCTTCCAGGCCATTTAGAGGGAAATGACTCTTACAACAGTGATGTTTATGTGGTTTATGTTTCTCTTCTTCTTTCCTCAACTCCATCCCCAGGAATCTAAGTGATAACAATAATTTGGAAGAATTGCCTAATGATGTTTTCCAGGGAGCCTCTGGACCAGTCATTCTGTGAGTAGCCTCCCTCATTTCCATGTGAGAGATCAGCATCTCTAAGTTAGAAGTCCACTTTCTCTAATTCAGGGACACTTCCAAAACAGGGATGGCTATTAAGATTAAATTTTATTTGTGTCATCTGCAAAGATTTATAGGACAATTTAGGGCTGATCCACATTCTAACTTTCACTAAAATAACAACAATAATAATAACAACTAACATTCAGTGAGCACTTACCAAGTCTCAGATAGTCTTTTAAAAGCTTAAGATGCATTTTCTAATTTAATCATTACCATAACCTCTGTGGTAGGGGCCATTATCTTCATTTTAGAGGAGAAAAAACTAGCTTCCCTGGAGGGGTTAAGTCACCCAACGTCGTGGAAATTGTAGAGCACAGATTTAACAGAAAACTAGTCTGATTCACAGTACAGACCCTTAACCACTCTCTATACATCTCTTCCCTGAAAGGGAAAGCAAAGTTCTCCTTCATCTCCCTCCATGTCCAGGAGTGTCCCTCAGTGCAGTGAGATACATACATGCATTCATTTCTGGATCCTCTTTGCTTCGATTCTAGATCTCTTGGGATGCATTCAGTGCCTCGTAGCCCTGCATCAGCATCTCTCCTCCTATTGTTGCTTCCTCATCTCCATTTCTCTCACCAAGAGTGGCTTTCCCCAATTCTCATCTGCCCCATCCTTCCACAAGAGTCATTCTCACCCCTGCCTTCCCCCATGACAACCTCAGCCAACAGTGAATTCCACCTCCTGGGACTCCCATAGCTTTCAGGGCTGTGGGGGCGAAATCTGCACGAGCTTTTTTAAAAGGTGTTCTCCTTGGCTGTAAGCAAGACCTACTACATCTATTGACAAATGTACTGCAGGAAGAGGAATCCAGAAGGGAGGAGTAAGATACAAGAAGAAATGGTGAGTAAGTAAATAGATAAACATGTGAATAAATCTAAAGGTTTGCTAGATGACCCTCCAAAGCCTAAGGTCAGGTCGGGCATTTGGGAGCCACCAACCTGCACCTCTTATTTGGCAGTGAGTATATAGGTTACCTACCTGCCGACCTACCATCTATCACCATAATTTTCATAAAAACTTACACCGTTGACCTTTGAACAAAATGGGTTTGAACTGCGTCAGTCTATTTATATGTGAAGTTTTTTCAGGAAATATATACTATCTGCAGTTGGTTGAATCCCTGATGCAGAACTGTGGATGAGGAGATAAGGAGGGCAGGGCTAGGGAACTCGAGCATCCACGAATTCTGACATCTGCGGCGGGTCCTGGAACCAATCCCCCACGGACACCAAGGGGTGAATATGTTCTCCTTCAGGTTGGAACCCATGCATTCTCTCTTTGAGATCCTGTATGGTAAAGGAGAAACTCCATAGATGGTTCTTTGTGATAAAGGATATGTTTTGACCCTTATAAGACTATTCAAGAATGCCTGGTTTGAGATGGGCAATAGATACAAAAGAAGGACATGATCAGCTTGATTAAAGCAGAGATATCAGAGCAAACAACCACAGATTAAAACCAGTTCTCTCACCTCTCTAGGCCTCAGTTTCCTCACCTAAAAGAAGCAAAAACAGCAATCCCTATTTCCTAATATTGTTTGAAGCTTAATAATATTATATATTCTTATAAGGGGGAGTCAGACGATATAACTAAATATGCAACTTAATATAGCAGGTCACCATGTACACTATGAAGCACCACTTAGGGCACCGGGGTAACGAATGGGGAGCCCCAGGCCCACAGTCCCCTTGGGCAAATACAGCTGTGATGTAGATATTGCATGCAGAAGGCTTACTGGGGAGTGCTTGATGGAAGGAGAATCAGGCTCCGTGGGAAGCTGAACTAGAATGCATTTGCAATGCAAGTTCCAGCTGATCCCACAGGGAGCTCTGGAGCTAAGATGGCCCTTCGAAGTTGTACTGAATTAAGGCAAGGGGCCAGCCCTCTTCATCAGCAGTCATCTGGTGCAAGGCTTTCGGTGGGGGGCAGGGCAGTTCCCAGAGTAGACCCCAGCGTGCATGGTCCTCCAATGCCCTCAAGCAGTGGTTCTAAATTTGATCATGTATCGGAATCACCTAGCATGCTGGCAAAACCCTAATGGCTGATCTCCACCCCCAGAATTTTTGATTCAGTAGGTCGGGGTGGGCCTGAGAATCTGTATCTCTAATAACTTTCCAGGTGAAGCTGATGTTACTGGTCCAGAATGCACACTAAGAACCACTGTCCTAGAACCAATGCCAGGAACTGGGAAGCTGGGCCCCACCTCCCGAGTATCTCCTCCAAGAGTGAACCGTGGTCGGTCTTCCCCCTCAGCAGGCTCAGGTCCTTGCCCCTGCTAGATGCAGACAAGGGATACTAAGGGAGTTAGAGGGGGGCCCCAATCCAATCATAACTTTGCCTGAAGGCAAAACTTTCAGTTGAGTGAAAACCTGGGAGCCTCTGAAACACCTGAGGGTGCAAGGAGATGATGTTCTGCTGCGAAGAGAAATAAATGTTGAAAAAGCCAGGAGCACACAGACAGGCTCCACTGAGTTTCCGCGGAGCAGCCTAGAATCCTGATTTTCCCTCCTGAGCCTTGACCTTGAACAACAGCAGCCATCTACGTTTTCACCTGATATTCTGAACTCACTGAAGTTTGGGGGTTTTTTTTTTTTCCTTTTAAGCAATCAAGCAATTGCTGTTTCCTTGGGAAATCGTTTCCTGTGGGGGAAATTTAATGCATTGCCTTTGCAGGCTGGAGCCAGTACAATCATATTCTGATGGTTTATCAAATTGATTTGGCTATAGCTCAGATTCATTTGATAGTTCAGATTCAAACACTGAGTTATTTGTATAAGAATGATTCTCTTCCATTACCAGTGTACCCACAGTCCTATAGATAGTAAATTGCCTTCTTATTCCGCCTGGGATCATGAAAGAGAGGTCTTCTAGCCATCTGTCAGTGTAGTATACACCAGAAATGTGCTCTCACTTATGGAAATGATTGACCTGTAATAACATCTTTGCTGGGAAAAATAGAAATTGTTCAAATCAAATTTGTGGCACTGGTTATCACACACTTTATTAAATGGGGCACAGAGCACAGTTTAACTCCTGGCTCTCCTGCCTCAGCATCTTATTACTGACTGCTGTCTCCCTTTCTACTTTGTATCTCAAAATCAAGAATCCGAACGATGTTGAAACAGTTCAGGGTTACTAAATCACCCCAGCACCAGCCATCGTCTCGTCATGTCTCATATTCGTACTTTCCAGGATTTAAATTCTCAAAACCAGTCCCTGCCAGAAAGTAGCATGTGCTGAAATACTAACCAAAATGGCATCTTAAGAAGAAAGACTGCAGTCATGAGACTAGCCTGAAAGATAAGGATTAAAAACACCAGCCCATCACTACCCCTTTCCCCTTGTCCAGCCTACCAGCCCCAGGAACAATGTCAGTAATAAATATTCTCACCCATTCACTGAGCATATTAGGGCTTGCACTGTCATACAATTAGGAGATGCTGACTGAGCACCTACTATGTGTCTGGTACTATGCTAGATCTAAGGACAGAGAGATTTAAAAACAACAGTACCTGCACCATCCTGTCTCTTTCTGGTAGAGGGACAAACGATACTGCCCAAAACCAGAGGCTCTGCAGAAATTTTCACAGGAGGCTACAGTAACAGAACGGATGCCCATACATCTTTGACATGTGACACAGTGACTTTTAACAGATGAAGTGACAGTGTGAGAGGAGGAAAACTCTTAAATCATGCCTGAATTTCTGCAATGGCTACTTCACCCCCTTCCTACCTTCAGTCCTGTCTCCTTCCAATTCATTTAACAATAAATGAACACCTACTATGCACCAGGCTTAAGGTTCTCAAGACTGATCTTACAAAATCACTTCTTTCAATAAGTCATCCTTCCGCTCATAGAAATTCCCAACATTTCTGCTTGGCCTTCTGGGCTCAGAAATGGAATCCCTTCTTGTGGTTCCCTTTATTCCTCAAAACATGGTTTTCCAGAATCACCCTTCTGAAAACCCCTCACTGCCATGCTCTGTGTTCTGGGCTTCTCTCCAAGTCTGCTTTTAGCCAGTCATCACAAAACCCCCTTCTATGAAGACATCAGTAACTGAGAATACCTTATTTTGTTACTCTCCCTAGGGATGTCTGCATCCTAAGAGTGGAAAGTACTTTTACAAAGGAATTAAAAATCTAACATTAGATTTCCAAGCCACGTGGAAGATCTGAGCCAGAGAATGGACTCTGTGTGTCTGTGTCTGTGTGTGCATTTGTGTGTTAGGGGAACAGAGAGCAAAAGTGGGAATATTTGTAGTTAAAGTCACAAACCACACTGAACAGTATCCTCTTATCTTTGTCCTTGCTGATATAAACATCTATGGATTTTTCTTAATTCATGGAGGTACCAGAGAAACATTTTTTTCTGCCAGTCCAACATGTGGAAGTCTTGATAGGTTCCATGTTTGCTCACTCCACCAGTATCCAGTAAGCTTGAAGAAAACACTTCCACAAACACTTTGATTTCCCTACCACCCAGGAACCACTTTTGCTAAAGACTTTTGCTTTACCAAACTGAATGTGCATCTCTCTCCTACTAACCACACCCTCCTTTCAACATCCACCAGCAGAAGATCTGGATCCCAGGACACTGACAAGATGCCACCTAGTGCAATTGACAGCGGCTTATATATTTTGCAGCTATGATGAGGAGGAATCCAAAATACAAGCTAGCTCCAGAACACTGAGCAGACAGAAAGGCACCAACGCTTTCCAAGCAGGCTCCCCCATCCAACACCTAGTCACTGGATTGCATGCAGGTCGATCCACCCAACACATTATTCTACTTGTTCACTAATCCATGTCTATCTCCTTGTCAACTTTGCACAAGGTGGCTCCCTTCCTTGGTGCCTTTGATACTCTCAGTCACATATAATTGCCTGCTGCAGAAACACCATTTGGCTGAGCTCTCTTCCAAACCACATTTC